AAGAATTACATTAATCATATTCGGAATACTTTGCTCGATTGGGGGTTATTAATAATTTTAGTCTTCTGTATTAAGACAATAAACTTATTCAAATCAAACGAATTTCTACGTGACATTCGTTGGATGTGTAAACATAAACACTTCAAGTTACGCATGTTGCTGAGAGCCTATTTTTTCCATTGGCTATCTGCTGTATATAAATGTTACATTGTCCGTACTTTTGTTGCGTCTGGCCAGGGACGGATTTATAGGGATGCTTGTGATGCTAAAAAATGTAAAAGAAATTTTTTTTTTGTTTTTAATTTTAACTGCCCACTTCCGGCTGTATCAGTAATTCATGACTTGCAGCCAGTCAGCCACCTACAGAAATAGCTCCCGCCGCCGTACGACTATATTTTGGTTTCAGTATCGTTTCTTATTCTTATTTTACTTTTCTGTTCGTTCAGTAATTTCAAAAGTGTGTGGTACTTTCTACCCATGTATCAGCGAATCTTATAGTTTGTTAAAAAATAAAAAATCCACTTGCATAATTAATTTTGTCTGGAACTGTTCTTATTGGAATCAACAGTTAACAATCAACAACTTATTCTTTAGGTATTAGATTAAATAATAATATGTCTGACGGCAAACAATAGGTATTTCAGTGGAAGCAAAAAAAGGAAACTGAAGCTTCAATTTGAACAGGAATTTTTTTACACCTAAATTTTCTACAGGGCTTTTATAAATGATTCTAAGGGCGTAGTTGGCCATGGATTTCAAAAATCCCGCTTTGCTGAAATTATGCCCGTCATTATGCATCAATATGACAGTTCTCATTTGTCACATTAATGTCTAATGTCATTTGTAACCTGTCATTTAAAGTCGTCGTTTTTATTGTTTTAATGTTTTTCAAGTGCGAACTACAGTAATTCTCGTTGATATAAGCTCAAAACAATAAAACAGTCATTTCAGAACTGTTGGTGCGTACGAAAATATTGTTTTTGTGCTAGGAAGCGAAGACTGTGAAAATGCTTTATTCTGTTGGACAAGACACTTTCATCGTTATGTCTTATTATCGCAATGGGTCTTCGTAAACGAAGAGTGTATGTATTCTGTAATTTTTAGTAGACCCGTAACCTCATTCAAATCGAACTAATTTCTACATGACATTCTTTCGATGTATAAACGTAAATAAATATTTGAACTTCAGATTGTTATTACCTAGTGCTGTAGAACATTATCCCGTTAGTTAAGTGCTTTAATAGTAATTTACACAACTAGTTCGGGATAGCCTGCTTCCCGCATGAATGCTTGTTTGCGGCACGACCGAAGGGAGTGACGCATTTGCGTGAATGCGGGAAGCAGGCTCACGAACGTGTTGTGTACAATATTTTTTGCAACGAATAAACCTTTAAACTGAAGAGATTAACTGTGAGTTATTTATAAACAACGGCATTGACAGCGCCGTCAACACGTCACAATGTTGACACTACCCAAGTATTTTAAGGTTACCATGGCAACGGGAAGTTAAATGCACGTGTGCTGGAAGTTCGACCTCCCGCACTCTGGTGAATGCGCGAAAGCTATCAAAAAAGGTCATGAGTGCAAAAATATATTTTACGTTGTCCGTACGCCACAGGGGCTGCACGGGTGTTATTTATGTCGGTTGTTTTTACTTTACACGGGTTATTTCAAAACGAAAATCGTAAAATCAGATTTTATCATTTTTTTAGAGAGCTGGATTTGTCAGATTCTACTGCAAGAGGTTTTAATTTTATTCACAATTTCATCAAAATCATAATAAACCGTGTCTTTGTTCCTAGGTCGTCTCCATTTATGCAAACCCCTGATTGCGTCAACAATTTTAACAAAACTATAACATATTGTTAAGATTGAGACATTTTCATAAAAAACACCTAACTTCAGTCCAGTTTTTTATTATTTCATAAGTAGAGAGCGGATTTCTAGGTTTAATGCTTTTTGTGAAAAATGTAAGCACTTCAAAACTTTTTTATATCTGTAACTATGATACAATTTGGAGTCATTTGACACATTTTTCTTTTTTCCAATTTTATGTATATTAAAACTTATATGCTTATTTAATGCTTTTTTCGACGAATATGAGTTTTAATGCATATTTTGTTCAAATGCCGGCCTTGTCGGGATGACAAATACTTGTTAGTTAGCCGTATCGTATCGTATGCATTTTACCTGGACTTGACCATTGGAGTACACTTACTCAAGACCCTTTCTGTGAATAGGTTCCGGTCGTTTGGGTAATAAAATTTTATTATAGGATTGGAAAAATACTCCATAGATTTTATGGCTATAAATCCTTACTTCCGTTGATAATGAATTAAAGCTTTTAACCAGATGTTCTTTTTCGGCATTTTGCGGCAAGACCGTTGAAGATGTTCTAAAAAAAAAGGATTATTGTACCCAACTACCTACCTCAAAATTTTTCTAATGGAAACTTTTAAGTAAATGAACCGTTTATTTCACAACCATCAGTCTATCGCATCTGTCGTAGTACAGTGTTATACGTGGTTCTCCCTTGTTATATGTTGAGTTCTTTTTGGTAATATTACTAATATTTTAAAAGAATGCCGAAAGTAAAATCGACGCCGGATGAGTGGATAAAGGATTTTCCAGAATTAAAATTAGAAAACAACAAAATATTCTGCAGAGCTTGTGTGAAAACCGTAAGCCCACAATTTTTTTTTGTCTATTTTCCTTTGTTAATTCTGTATATGTACGTTGTTTTAGATTCAAAGTGATAAAAAATATAACGTGACGCAACATGTCAGAACGACTCTTCATGTAGAAAGGAAGAAAATGTTTGAAGTCTCTAAAATTAAACAGCAGACCATACATGAATCTGTTGCATCTACTTCCACAAAAGATGAGCAGTTTCAGTTTAATTTCGATTTATATAAAATGATGATCCAGTCCAAATACCTTTAAAAAAACTGGAGAAAGGCCCTCTTCAAGAATTCCTTGAAAAACACTGCAATCGACATACTCCGGTTGAAAGTACTCTCCGAAAAAATTATGTAGGCCCAGTGTTTCAGCAAGTTTACAACGAAATTAAACATCGCATTGGAGATAATTATTTATGGTTCGCTGTCGATGAAACAACCGATAGTTGTGGAAGATACGTGGCAAGTTTAATTGTTGGAATCTTAAATGAAAATTTCCCTAGTCGAGGGTATGCAGTAAGTTTGAAAATGTTAGATAAAATAACTGGCAATACGATTACCAGATTTGTAAATGACAGTCTTACGTCACTATTTTTGCCAAATACCGTACCGGCGAATAAAATTTTATTGATGATCTCGGATGCAGCTCGTTATATGTTGAAAGCAGGGAATAATCTAAAAATATTGTTCCCCAATTTAATTCACTCTACTTGCATTGCCCACTGTTTAAACAGAGTGGCTGAAGGAATACGTTTGCAGTTTCCTACTGTTAATAAATTAGTGGCAAATGGTAAAAAGATTTTTGTTAAAGCCCCACTAAGAGTGCAACATTTTAAGGAAAAATTTCCAAACATACCATTGCCCCCAGAGCCGATTATAACGGGGTGGGGAATATGGTTACAGGCCACATTTCATTATGACAAATATATCAAAGAATTTGAGGAATTAGTTACGGAGTTTAGCGAAGATTCTTCTTAATCGATTAAAGATTGCATAAATATTTTGGAAAACAAAGATTTGCGACAAGATCTACCTTTTCTAAGAAGCAATTATCAATTCGTATGTGAGGTAATAGAAAAGTTAGAAAAACCCAACATGTTGTTGGTAGATGCCATAAACTTAGTGAAAGAATTTGAACAACAAGCAAACGCAGTAAGGGGTGATATTGGTACTAGAGTATCTCAAAAACTTGACGAAGTGTTAAATAAAAATGCAGGTTTCGGTGTTCTTCCCGACGTTGCTCGTGTTTTACAAGGTCAGAAGTTGGAAAATTTGGAGTTAGATTCAACATTAGTTGCAAAATTCAAATTTGCGCCAACAACGAGTATGGATGTTGAACACACATTCTCCAATTTTAAACACATTTTTAATGATCTGCCCAAAAAAAATTTTACAGTGGACAACTTGGAACATATCACAATCATAAATTGTTTTAAAGAAAACTGAAATACGTGTGTAAAATATAAAGTCTAGGATTATTGTAATAATATTTTATGCAAAGTTCTAAGAAGTGTTCTTTGATTTGTAATATGATTATGTTTTTAATGCTTTTTTGCTTAAAATAAAACTTTTTTATTGAAAATGTTGTGCTTATTGAAGCGCTTATTCTTAATTTTTTTGTGCTTATAAATCCGCTCTCTATATAAGCCTTAACTGTAAAAACGAGAGAAACTAACAAATGGGACATGAATTAAGTCTAGGACATTAGCCACATCCTGACCTGACCTGACTTGAGCCGACCCGACCTGACCTAACCTGACCTGATGTGGTCTGACCTGACTTGATGCTTTTTTTAAACACACCGTGACTCCTGTCATTAATTATTAAAAGTTTCGCCACTTTTTGGTTAATACCAGAGATTTGTTTTGTTTCAAATTCAAATTAGAATTTAGTTTATCTTAAGTTTCTACGTACTTATTTCTATTTTGACGTGTGTAAACATCCTAATGTGATAATTACAAGTGAATTATTATTATTATTATATTATTATTATCCCACACAAGAAAGTGCTGTCAGAAACGTCAGCGTTTTTTCTGGATACTCTTTTTCCCTGACGTTTGCGTTTGACGTTCTCCCATGGGAGCTTTAAATCAGGCAACCCGCAGAAATTCGTCTTTCCTAACAAAAATTCTCCATACAAGGTAAAGGGCAAGAATCCTTCAAAGGTTCTGATACTTATGTTTCATGAGTACTATAAATAGACCTATCGTACAACAAACAGTACATTTTACAGTGTTACCAATCTACATGTTGAACAAAATAAATTTCGTAGTATACTTAAATTAGCATTTGTGTGTAATTTCCCATACATAATTTACATACCTAAGACTGCCGACCGGAGGCGTCGCGTACGGCACCCCCAGAAACGCCTCTACCGGTGGATTGATGTGAATCATGACGCCCCTGAGGGGCCCATATTTAGTCCGCACCACCCGCGTGCTGTACTTGTGCACCAGAAGGGAGGCGCCGGCGCCCGAGTCCTCCGCGAGGATCACCACCACTATCACCCACATCGCACAGAAAAACGCGGAAACGGAACTTGACTGTCTCGGAAGAAGCGTCCTTAACACACGCATGACGTCACCAGCGATGACGCTCACGGCATTTACGCTGCTGCCTCATTATCCCTCCTCGGAACTAGCCGGATTACTGCAGGATTTGACCTGAAAAAGGAAACAATTAAAATTAGGGACGTCATAAAAAGAGGCCGCTAGACGGTAATTAATGTGGCTTCCTGATGGCATTCGAACTTGTTGGAAAAAACTTCAAACGAAAGTTTCTATTAGGATTTTTCCCTCGGAATTGCCGGGCTAATTGGACGACTGATTTGAATTGGTGGAGCGGTAGGTGTGGGTTTGGCGAAAGTAGGGTTTTGCTGTGGAGTTCGATAGAAAGAACGCAGTACAACTGATTTAAAGTTTCGAAATTAAAATAAAAACAACTTTTTTTAATTAATCGCCAAGAGTGGTCTTTTGGCTGGATTGGAGCGCGGAAAGTACAAGAGCTTTTACGGTGGTTAAATTAAAAACGAATTGCGCTGCTTTAGGCTGGGCAATAATCGGATTTTTTTATTTTGAGCAGATTTTCTGAACTGTACTGATTGTTTTATTTAATGTTAGGTAATAGCCAAGTTGATTTAATCTCCGTTCCGCTTTGTCGTGGCCTCAGTGTATAAAAACCCGTAAGCAATGAATTTTACATGGAATAATTCGCAGCGGTGTTGTCAGTTATCAAAAATCTACCACATTTGAAGAAGAAGCTTTCGTTGCCACCTATACGGAATGTGCTGTACCCGATAAATCGCTGGAGGTTAATAATATATTACATACCGAGGAGAAAAGTATTCCATTCCTGTCGAGAGAACTATAGTTTACCGTGAGGCGCAGCTTACGGGTTTTGTACGTTGCCAAGTTAAAATGGAACGAAAAACAGACAAAGTTGTTTTACACCGCATGTTTTTTATCGCTGTAAAGCAGGATGGTAATATTTTATCACCGTTTTTTGACAAAATGGACACGTAAAATAAATACTTCTCTCTTCTTATTAATCTGTAAACAAAATGTTTCCTTATTTTCTTTTCATACTAAACAATAATTCTTATATTTTTTAACAAAACTTTAGGAGTATACTTCAATATTACTTTCATGAAAAAAAAACTAAATTAAATTAACTAAAAAATGATGAATTATTTTTTTAGGTATCAACTTTTCAAAATAAGTATATTTTGTTTTTTTTTAGTAATTTATTGATTTTAACTATTTCACCAAAAAAAATCGAAATCTATATTCTTCTCCTAAAAATGCCACCACGACACTTCTGGAAAAATTTCGTTCTTTTGTCAGTAGGATGGTGATGAAATCTAGAGAATTTAGAGAATTTTCTAAAGAGTAAAACCTATTTTTACAACAAAAATTAATTGCAAAAAATATATATGTATTAATTGAAACAATAAAAGTTCTAGAATGCAGAAATTTTTACCCAAATAGGAATTGGAAATCACCGTTACTATACTTCTTTAAATAACTGAGAAAAAGTAAAACTGCTCGATTATGCAAAAAATTTCAAGCAGAATATTAATTTAAAGACTACTTTACTATACTCTCAATAATTAACAAAATTGACGTATTTCCAACATTTTTTTCAAAAAAATTAAAATTGGTAGAAATCAAACGGAGAATATGATAGGAACGAAAAAATCAATAGGTATAACTTACCAATCTAAGGTAGCTTTTAAAAATTTTATATACAGGGTGAGTCACTAATCCTTCATATCTCATTAATTATTAAAAAAAAGTCATAGACCCAAGTAATACGGTTCTTTGAAGACTATATTCTAAAATTAGTTTTAACGATAGAGGCGGTTCTGTTTCTAAGGCGGAACACAGAACATAGGTTTTTTTTAATGAAACACCCTCAATATTTTCACATACAATCATTAGACTTGTCCTAAGTTGTATAACTATCGTTTATTTTTGAAATTCCGGTGTGACGTTGTCACGTTATTTTTTAATTTTCCTGAAATTTTTCGGCAATTTTGTTCCCAAAAAAATTACAATATTGTGACAATTATTTATTGTTTTTATTTTGTTTGTGCATATTTACATATTAAACATACGCACTTTGTAGTGGTGTCATTTAAATCAGATTTTAATATGGGTACTGAGTGTTTATAAAAAATTCTAGAATATTACAATTTTCAAATATCGATAGTTCAGTTTTATCAAATAGCTGTATTTTATTACTGTACCTTAATCTATTTTTGTTTTCATTCTTCAATTATGTCGATGTGTCTGTTAAAAAGATAAAAATCGCAGTAACTATCAACTATAGAAATACTTAATAAAATAGAAAGAGAACAAAAAATAGATAAGGCAGGCAAGCAGTAATAAAATATAGGGTATATCTATTTTGAAAATTGTAATAATATTTCTTTAGAAACACTCTGTATATGAACATTTTATTTTTTTTTTGTACTACAACAAAGTACATTCCTCTCCACAAAATATTGTAATATAGATTTCAAAAATAATCCAACTGTAATTTTTTGTGAACCCTTCAATTCCTAAAAAAAATCAAGAAAATTGGAATAGCATAGCAATGTCGCCTTGGAATTTCAAAAATTAACTATCATTGTAAAGCCTGAGAAGAGGTCAAAATACGTAAAAATATATAGGGTGTTTCATTAAAAAACTAAGTTGTGCGTTACGACGAAAAATCGAACAATCTATAGTTAGAAATAATTTTGAAGTAGAACCCTTAAAGAACCGCACAACTTCGCGCTTCATGACTCACCCTGTACATTGCCCGAGGTTAAAATAAAAACAATTAAAAATAACCCTATTGTGATTTTTTTGTAAACCCTTAAATTGCTAAAAAAATCAAGAAAATTGGAAAAGCGTGGTAATGTCGCGTTGGAATTTCAAAAATAAAGTATGACTGTAAAGCCTGAGAAGAGGCCAAAATATGTAAAAATACATAGCGTGTTTGCTTTAAAAAACTGAGTTGTGCGTTATGACGTAAAATTTGAACTCTATATTTAGAAATAATTTTAAAGTAGAATCCTTGAAGAACCGAACAACTTCGCGCTTAATGACTCACCCTGTATATTTCCTGAGGTTAAAATGAAAAAAAAACATTTCAAAAATAACCCTATTGTATTTTTTTGTGAACCCTTCAATTCCTAAAAAAATTCAAGGAAACTGGAATAGCGCGGCAATGTCTCGTTGGAATTCCAAAAATAAAGTACGACTTTAAAGCCTGAAAAGAGGTTGAAATATGTGAAAATACATAGGGTGTTTCATTTAAAAACTAAAATATGTGTGACAACGTAAAAATACAACAGTCTATAATTAAAAATAATTTTAAAGTAGAATCCTTAAAGAACCGCACAACTTCGCGCTCAATGACACACTCTGTATATTTCCCGAGGTTGAAATTAAAAAAAAATATTTCAAAAATAACCCCTTTTTAATTTTTTTGTGAACTCCTCAATTCCTAAAAAAATCAAAAAAATTGGAATAGCGTGGCAACGTCGCTTTGGAATTTCAAAAATAAAGTATGACTATAAAGTCCGAGAAGAGGTCAAAATATGTTGAAATACATAGGATGTTTGATTTAAAGAACTAAGTTGCGTGTTACGATGTAAACACCGAACACTCAATAGTTCGAAATAATTTTGAAGTAGAAGGCTTGTAGGACCGCACAACTTCACGCTTAATGATTCACCCTGTATATTTTCCGAGGTTAAAATTTAAAAAAAATTCAAAAATAACCCTACGTTGAATTTTTTGTGCACCCTTCAATTTCTAAAAAAATAAAAAAATGCGAATAGCGTAGCGATGTCGCCTTGGAATTTCAAAAGTAAAGTACAACTGCAAAGCCTAAGAAGAGGTTGAAATACGTAAAAATATATAGGGTGTTTCATTTAAAAATCTAAATTGTGTGTTACAATGTGAAAATCGAACATTCTATAGTTAGAAATAATTTTAAAGTAGAATCATTGAAGAACCGCACAACTTCGCGCTTAATGACACACGCTGTATATTTCTCGAGGTTAAAATAAAAAAAAATCAAAAATAATCTTGTTGTGATTTTTTTTGTGACTCTTCAATTCCTAAAAAAAATAAGAAAATTGGAATAGCGTGGCAATGTCGCATTGAAATTTCAAAAATAAAGTATGACTGCAAAGCCTGAGAAAAGGTCAAAATATGTAAAAATACATAGGCTATCTCATTTAAAAACTAAGTTGTGTGTTACGCAGTAAAAATTGAACAATCTATAGTTAGAAATAATTTTAAAGTAGAATCCTTGAAGAACCGCACAACTACGCGCTTAATGACTCACCCTGTATATTTCCCCAAGATTAAAATTAAAAAAAAAATTCAAAAATAACCTTACTTCGAATTTTTTTGTGAACCCTTCAATTCCTAAAAAAATTCAAGAAAAGTGGAAAAGCGTGGCAATGTTGCGTTGGAATTTCAAAAATAAAGTATGACTGTAAAGCCTGAGAAGAGGTCAAAATATGTAAAACTACATAGGGAGCTTGATTTATAAAACTAAGTTGTGCGTTATGACATAAAAATCGAACACTCTATAGTTAGAAATAATTTTAAAGTAGAATCCCTGAAGAACCGTACAACTTTGCGCTTAATGAGCCACCCTATATATTTCCAGAGGTTAACATTAAAAAAAATCAAAAATAACCTTACTGTGATTTTTTTTGTGGGTCCTTCAATCCCTAAAAAAAATCAAGGAAAATGGGGTAGCGTGTCAATGTCACATTGAAATTTCAAAAATAAAGTATGATTGTAAAACCTGAGAAGAGGTCAAAATACATACAAATATATAGAGTGTTTCATTAAAAGACTAAGTTGTGCGTTACCACGTAAAAAATGAACACTATAATTGGAAATAATTTTAAAGTAGAATCCTTAAAGAACCGCACAACTTCACGCATAATGAGCCACCCTGTATATTTCCTGAAGTAAAAATTTAAAAAAGCATTTTCAAGAATTTTTCAGAAAGACAGATTTAAAAAAGCATTTTTCACTGGCTAAAGTTGTTTTTGCTTTAAGTTTTAATAAGCTGAGAAAAAAGAACCACATTTAAAAAAAAAATGGTGATTACTCAGTTTGGCGAAAACTCTTAAAAAAGTGGGAAGGCCAGAAAAGCCTTTTGCATAGATAATAATTTCCTCTGTTATATTGTACCAGCCCCATTTTCAGACTTGACACTCTACCAGTTTAATAGGTAAACAAAATACATTGAACTACATTGAACCTATGCCATTTATAACTAATTTAGGGGAACATAACTCCAAAACGATGGTCTTATGATTTTCAACATTCGATTCCTTGAACATTTGTGGTCCTACAGGTTGTTCGTCAAACCGGATACTCTACCAGTTGGAATCCACAATAAGGGGAAGGGGAGGGCAGGGGTTAACCCGTGACAGCCGCGTCGACGTGACACCGGAAACAGGCGTATCATCCTTATTTCAGAATCGCGGCCTCCCCAGGATCCAAAGCAGACCCGTCTAGTGAGTAGTTTTTAATTTAATAGAGAATAAGGACTGTACATTTTTTTAACTATTAACTGGATTATTATTTATTTTTGTCGCGGCCGCTCACGAGTCCTCGGAGATACGTTTCTCCGGCTTAGAGTGTCCCAGGCGCCTGTGCAACTGCTCCCGTAGAAGACACCAAGGGCGTCCAGCTCTTTGCGTGTTTTATCGCATATTTTTGCGTTCGGAGATTCAATGCCGGTTCCCGGTGTCGCGACGGTGCGGCTGTCACGGATTAACCCCTGCCCCTGGTACCCTTATCACGGCTTCTTTTAAATTTTAGTGCATAACTCCGGGCAATAATTAACAAATTAAACATGTTATAAAACAAAACTAAAGAAACATATTTAAAATCACGAAATATCAAAAAAAGCCACGATATTTTCACATTGTCGGAATAAAAACTATTGTGACACATTTTTAATTTTTGTTAGAAATGTCGAAGAAAAATATGGAAACATTGGTTAAAGCGCTCTTAAATGGTGGTGGGAAACCTTAAAAGTTTTCATTGTTAATTTCAGCCCATTCACCGTCGAAGTCCCACACCTTCATCTCATTTAATTCTCATTTTGGTACGATCTTACGTGAAAGAAGACCAATATTTTGTGGGTGGTATTATTTATGAGATGAAAAACTTTTCATAATGGAAATTGATCGAAAACGCCTTCTTATATTTATGCCTAAAAATAATTCAGCCCAATGCACAAAAAAAATAATTCAATATATTTTCATTCTCACTAATATTCCATGTAGGATGATACATTTAATTACACATGACTGTGATAAAGTTGGTAATAGACTTTGTATGTCTTTTAGTAAATTATTAATATTATTTATATTTAAAAAAACGGCCAGTATTTTTTCAACACACAGAATTAAATGCTTTGCAGTTACGTCTTTACATTCTTGTTTTTCCCAGTGTTTCAAGTTAAAAACGTCTATTTATTCATGCAAATGGGAAATAAATAATTTATTCAAAGTTGCCACTTTATTTAAATTCATGCTAATCTAGTGCACGAGTGTTGTTTATAATTCCCTGCTTTCATCTATGAAACACAAGGACTAAGAGAAAGATGTAATTACGATTTATTCTCCTTTGCAAAGAAAAAAAATTACATATACATGAATTTGTATACAAGAAAGAGAGTATGGTCGATCAAAACAGGGAAAACATTTTTCTGAGTAAATTGCAACATTTTTTAATAAAATAATACGTCTGGCGCAGATATCCGCAATTCTCACTTTATTCCGGCTTAAAACCCACGTTTAAAAAGTCTCTTTGTACAGTCTTATTCCGTTTTTAATAAAAACAATTATATTTTTCTTATTCTTCTACATCCTCGACTCGCGAAGGGCGAAGTAAAAAAGTGAGGTCATAATTGATTGGTATAAAAGCAAGTTTTTACAAAAGAACAATAAACTGCCTCTCACAACACCCGTTGCAACAAAAAAAATCCCCGAGCCCAGCCAGCGCAGAATTATAAATCTCAGTCACCCTTCACTTGAAAGAAAAAAAATACAGATAGCGTCTGAAGAATAGCCAACGAGAACAATTATCACAGAGTATCTTAATTGACTCTGCGAGAAAATCTGGAAAGAAAGCCGCATTTTCCGCTTAAATGGAAATAAAGGAATCCGAACATCGGCGAATGGCTACCACTTACGAGCATTGCGTAATCCGTTTGCTCTAAACATCCCAATTTCGCGATGACTGCTCGATTATTAGTGCATGAGCCCCAACTTACCTTGAGGATGGGCTTCGAGATGCTTAATTTGCGCCTGGGATTTTCCATTGAAGACACCTCTAACGAGGAACATGCTGTCGAGAGTCTTTCTTCCAGCACTCCATTTTCTCATCACATAATTAAGTTTCAATTAAGCGAACAAAAGGTAAATCGCCTTCGTAAAGAAACTTATGACGAGAAACCAAATTTAATTTGGGCAGGAAATAAGGTCATCTATCTACACCGAGCTTTTGAGACGGAGCTTCGCATTAAAATATCGAGGAACTATAAGCTGTGACCATCTGTTACCGAAACATGTCCATTTCTGAATTTCCTGCGCCGTATGTCGAAACTTCCGCTGAAAACGCTCTTCTACTTTATGGAGAAGTCCATGCTCGCATCTGCCTCTTATCTAGCTCATATCGGCGTCACGTGACGTTCGTCATTCCTTCCCATTGTTACATCTTATTTCATCCGGTCCCTCATCCCTGTTTTGATTTTTGTCAGCCTACTCGGAGCTCTTTAGCGATTCCGGCATTGTGCTCTAGACCCAATTTAACTGCAGACTCGAAAATTGAATAATCAGTCTTTAAGTTCTGTTGCCTTTGTTCGCGAATTTATTTTCGATTCATTCTTCATCCCGAGCCGGAACTGAAAGGGATTCAGTTTCACGCCGTCATTTATCTTGCTTCGAGTGCACCACCTGCAACAAAAATTTTTAAATTATTTTGCTAGTCTGTTTTGCATTCTTTATTGGGAGCATAAAACGTTCGCGGAAAGAAACCTGTGCCAATAACGTAAACGAATTGCCTTTATTTATTGGACCGAGATGGCTTGCCCCAGGGAATTTTTCTAATTTTTAATGGTAATAAAAGTGCAAAAGTTTTGAAGTTTATTACATAGCGGGTGAGGTGCTTTAAGGATGCAGTACAGTGCACTGTAATCATATCCGGAGAAATATATCAGAATTATCTTGTGTAGCGTGAAACATAAGAAGTTGAGAAGTTAAAGTTACTATTATAACCTAGATTTATTTTCTGTTGTGTTGGCTTAGTCGTGGTCAAAATCTAGAAATAAGGTAACACAATCAACTTAAAAAACTCTTCTAATTAAAAATCTGGAATTTACTAATTAATTTGTTTCCTTTTTATCAACTACTAAACAAAATCAAGGCAAATTTATAAACCACAAATACAGGTATATACTATTTTATAAAATTGTTTTATAAAAAATTGACTTGAGAGAATCGAATTGTTGGTGGAGATAATTAGACAAATTTTGGTTAGTCTTTTTCCATCTATACAATATTCCTAACCCAAATACTCGTAATATTTCTTTCATCATCCCCACCTCATAGCTATACAGCTATATATATAGTTTGAACATTTTAAGCAGAATTTGCTCGGCAAAGTTTTGAAGTGACGTCATCAAATTCTGGTGGGAATGATCAGACAAATTTTGTTCACCGTTTTATCATCTATAGGATATTTTCAAACTACATCTAAAAACATCGCCAAGAGATAACGGATCACAAACGACTGAAAACGGGCGGCCTACTTTGTCGTATTCCAGTACGTATGAAACGTCGAACACGGCTGAATTTAACCATCGGTGTAGTTAGAAAATTGTTTAAACTCTGTCTGATTTGGAGTGTACATAACAATATTACAACAACGATTACAATGAAAATGGTGGTGACAACATAAGGAAGTTGAATTCAACAAGGAAATTCACAGCAAAGAATCTGCGTTATATCAAGAGAAAATTTTAGAGAGTGATTTCTCTAGAGAAGAAAATTTAGATCAAAGACATAGATTATGTTACAAAGTTATTCAAAAATTTTGCTGTTTAATTACCCCTCCTAAGGTAACATGGTAACTGAAATTAAGATCCATTATAAGAGTTATTATATTACTTATTACATTTTCGGCAAAATATTTTTAAGCTTTAATGATAATTTGGTGTAATTAGAGTAAAAATAACTCGTACACAAAAGAAGAAAATCTACTTAAAAATTAATCACCCCCTAATTTTTTATTGATCAAAGTAAAACGAGTGACCCCATTTGCTAAGAATGTATTAAAAACATTTTTTCCATTGTTTAGAGGAGACAAACTCATTCAAGTTAAACAAATTATTATGTGACACTGGTTCGATGTATAAACATAAACACTCGAAGTTAAGTATGTTATTATTGTTGAGAGGACACTTTTTTTCGTTGGTTATCTGTTTAAATATTATAAATATTATATCTTATATCTTACAATAAGCCTTTTAAGTGTTATTTATGCTGCAAGATCAAATTTCATAATTTTTCGAAGATGCGGGATTTACTGGTTTTGTATTTAAGGCGTAAGGGAAGTTCTGTCTAAATAAATTTCGACCAATTTTTTGTGAGTTTTTTAGAAGATCGAATCTCAGTTCCGGCTCCGGTCCAAAATTCTCGACTCGACGATTTAGGAGTAAAACAAATAATGCTAAAAATTTTTTTTTACATTAGTAATTCCATCATTGAAGAGTCAATTATGGTGTGTCTTCTCATGCGATCACTTTTTCTTTATCTCACTAAGTAGTAATGATACGTACTCGCTTCCACATACCATTAGGTGGAATGGAAAATATATAAGGTGGAACACACAAAATAACTTTAGTTTTTAAATCTTGAAGTTAATTTTCTTTGTGAGTTTTTTAGAAGACCAAATCGGCAGTCCGAACCCTGGACTCCATGATCCAGGAATAAAACAGCAAAATGGTTAAAATATTTTTAGTTACTAATTAAATAATTGAAGAATCGATTGTACTACGTCTTCTCATCAGAACACTCTGTATTTTTTAGGTAGTGATGCTGCGTTCTCGTTTCCAGGCACAATTTTTGAAGTGACCACATCCCCTGAACGAGATCTCATCACCTATTTATCACGAGAGGTGGAATGAAAATATATAAGGTGGAAAACACAAAATAACTTTAGTTTTTAAATCTTGAACTTAATTTTTTTGTGAGTTTTTTAGAAGACCAAATCTGCAGTCCGAATCCTGGACTCCACGATCCAGGAATAAAACAGCAAAATGGTAAAAATATTTTTGGTTACTAACCAAATAATTAAAGAATCGATTGTACTACGTCTTCTCATCCGAACACTCTGCATATTTTAGGTAGTGATGCTGCGTTCTCGTTTCCAGGCACAATTTTTGAAGTGATCACATCCTCTGAAGGAGATCTGATTCCCTATTTATCACGAGGGGTGAAACGAAAATATATAAGTTGGAAAACACAAAATAACTTTAGTTTTTAAATCTTGAAGTTAATTTATTTTGTGAGTATTTTAGAAGACCAAATCTGCAGTCCGAATCCTGGACTCCATGATTCAGGAACAAAACAGCAAAATGGCAAAAATATCTTAGGTTACTAATTAAATCATTAAAGAGTCGATTGGGCTACGTCTTCCCATCCGAACACTGTGTCTTTGTTAGGTAATAATGCTGCGTACTCGTTTTCACGCACAATTTTTGAAGTGATCACATCCTCTGAACAAGATCTCATCTCCTATTTATCACCAGAGGCGGAATAGAAAATATATAAGGTGGAAAACACAAAATAATTTTAGTTTTTACATCTTGAAGTTAATTTTTTTTTGTGAGTTTTTTAGAAGGTCAAGTCTGCAGTCCGAATCCTGGACTCCATGATCCACGAATAAAACAGCAAAATGGTAAAAATATTTTAGGTTACTAATTAAATAATTAAAGAATCGATTGTACTACGTCTTCTCATCCGAACACTCTGTATTTTTTAGGTAGCGATGCTGCGTTCTCGTTTCCACGTACAATTTTTGAAGTGATCGCATTCTCTGAATAAGATCTCATGTCCTATTTATCACGGGGGGTGAAATGAAAATATATAAGATGGAAAACACAACATAACTTTAGTTTTTAAATCTTGAAGTTAATTTTTTTTGTGAGTTTTTTAGAAGACCAAATCTTCAGTCCGAATACTGGACTCCATGATCCAGGAATAAAACAGCAAAATGGTAAAAGTATTTTTGGTTACTAATTAAATAATTAAACAATCGATTGTACTACGTCTTCTCACCCGAACACTCTGTATTTTTTAAGTAGTGATGCTGCGTTCTCGTTTCCAGGCACAATTTTTGAAGTGATCACATCCTCTAAACGAGATCTCATCTCCTATTTATCACGAGAGGTGGAATGAAAATATATAAGGTGGAAAATATAAAATAACTTCAGTTTTCAAATCTTGAAGTTTTTTTTTTGAGTTTTTTAGAAGACCAAATCTGCAGTCCGAATCTTGGACTCCATGACGCAGTTGTAAAACAACAAAATGGTAAAAATAGTTTAGGTTACTAATTAAATCATTAGTCGATTGTGCTACGTCTTCTCATCCGAACACTGTGTCTTTATTAGGTAGTAATGCTGCATACTCGCTTCCACCCACTATTTTAAAGTGATCACATCCTCTGCACAAGATCTCATCTCCTATATGTCACGAGAGGTGGAATGGAAAATATATAAGGTGGAAGACACAAATGAAATTTAATTTTTCAATCTTGAAGCTGGAATTTTTTTGTGGGTTTATTGGTAAATCAAATCTCCAGTCCAAATCCCGGACTCCATGAACTTGGAATAAAACAATAAAATGGTAGACATATTTTAGGCTACTAATTGAATAATTAAAGAATCGATTGTGCTATGTCTTCTCATCCGAACACTCCGTCTTTACCTGACTAGGTAGTAGTGCTACGTACTCGTTTCCACGTACAAATTTTGTCTGAACACAATCTCATCTCCTGTTTGTCGCCAGGGGTCGCCCCAACCTGTCAAATGTTACAGACCCTAAAGAAGTGAGTCTAGCCCTTTTATATCACAATCAAGCAGGCGTTTTTTTGTTTAATTTGCCGTAATGTGTAAGTACAAAATCACAGAATCATTAGGGAAGAGAATAAAACCAATCAACATACATTTATGATTTAGAGAAGATATGATGACGAAAGAGGACGAAAACACTATTCTAATTATTTAAGCCACGTTTCGAGAACTATATTTTCTCTTCTTCATGGCTATAAAGTGTGGAGGAATTAGTATCTAAACTTTATAAAACTGAAACCTTAATTGGTAATTCCATTAAAATATTTCACTTAACATTGTTTTTAATTAAGTGATACATGAAACAATTACGTTAAAATGGTTGAACGATAAAATATCAAAAAATGTAAAAAAAAATTAAATTAATTTGGATTCTTGGTAATTGCTGTCCTTCTGTTAAGGCACCAAACGGAAAAATTCAACCAATCGCAAAAGTGTTCGGATGAGCAGACGTAGCACAATTAAACAAGTCGAACGATTTTATGATTTTCGACCTTGATTGTGCAGTCTTCTCATCCGAACACTCGGTTCCCAGCATTTCTAACACTGTTGATAAACCTTTCGAATATTGTTGAAGATTTACTTTAAACTGAATAACAATTCATATGTTGGGGGTGACCTCTGGTGACAAACAGGAGATGAGAGGATCTGATAAATTTAAAAATTGTGCATGCAAACCAGTATGTAGCATTACTACCTACTTGGATGAAGAAAGAGTGTTCGGATGAGAAGACTAGCACAATGAAGGTCGAACATCATAAAATATTTAGCTATGTCAACACTAGAAATTATTTTTTCTTGATTTTGGTAAATAGATAT